TGCCAGAAGCATAATCATTTATTTGCCCTTAAATATTTTTTGTTGCTGAACATGGCTATAAGAATCTGATGTGGTCTGCCCCTCTCTCCAGCATCATTTCTTCTGCCATCACCACCACCTCTCTCTCTCCTTCTCTCTCTCTCTCAAAGTCTCAGGAACACCTGATCCCCTTCAAGTTCCTCAGATACTGTTCCGTATCTTCAGAGCAGCACTTCTCAGCCTTCAATGCAAATATAAATCAACTGGGGATCTTGTTAAAAAGTTCAGATTCTTGTTTGCAACATCCCAGGCGAGGCTTGAGACTTTGCATTTCCTGCAAGCTCCCAGGTGATGTTGATGCTTGCTGGTCTGAAGACCACATTTTGAGTAGCTAGAATTTAAAATACTCTTTACTTGACTCTATCCTACCTCCCAACTGTTCATGCTTTGGAGCTCAGCTTAAATTTTACTGCCTCAGGGAATCTATCCCTAATCAGACTAGACCAAGAAATATATCCTCACTGCACTGTCCTCTTGCTTTTTGAAGCTCTTACCACTATCTTATTAAGGAGCCACCAAAAGAGTCATGTAACGCCTGTCTCCTAACTCAAATACAAACTCCATGAAAGAGGGAGCATCAGTCGGGCTCCCCATTGTAGTCCTTGTATCTGAGCATGTCTTGCCCATAATAGGATCTCGGTAAGTATGCATGGATTGAAAGGAATGAATGGACATGAATGTCCTAACATTTGATTCAGAGACCCATGACAATGGGTTATTAACCTCTTTTGGGCTACAGACCCCTTTGAGAATTTGAGGAAATCTGTCCCCAGGAAACACCTCTCCCAGAAAATTGGAGCATGTCAATAACATTTTGCCTAACCACCACATTCCATTTCAGCAGGTAAAGAATTACTGCCCTGTGTAAATATAATCACCAAGCATCTCTTCCTATGAGAAGATCTTCCCTCCATTTTACTTCAGTCAGTCTAATGTCGGAGGAACACTGTGGGGACTCCTACCATCAACACAGCATCTTCACCCCTAAATTCATCCAGAGGCAGTGGTAAAGAGTGGGGGGGAAATGTGGCTGAGCAAGGCTGTGCATGCTCCTGCTGAAAGGACTGCATCTTGCCAGATAACAAGTGAATTACCATGACAGAAGTGAAACTTGACATGAGCTAGAAATCCTTTCACCTGGATGGAAATGGGCTGGTTTTTCATCTGAGCTCTGGCCACTGATCCTGATTTTAAAACATCTCAGAGACCTACCTCTCTCATCATTTCTGTGGCTCTTTGTCTCCTGGAGACAGAAATGCCTCGCTTGGTGGACTAGTGTGGACTTCAGTGACAGAGGCACCTGCTTTCACATCTGGTTCATCAAAGTCTGAGACTAGTGGGTGGAGAGTTAACTTTCCTGCACCTTGGCTTCCATATCTGTGAAATGGGTCCCCTCAAAATATCCTCTGAAGTCCTGGGACATATTTTCAGTGCTGAAACAATGCCTGCCATCTGTACTGCTCTTGCTTTTAAACAGAAGCTTCCTTACTGGGTCCCACTGTCTCCCCTATAACAGAGCCAGCTTAGAGGGGCTTGCTTTGTCCTTTTAGGCTAATTATCTAATCTTTTTGCTCAATTCTCTCCTCCTAGGCTTCTGGGGATATAGTACATTATAATCTGTTATTGGCACTGCTATTTATTTGCAGCCAGGGACATTTTATTCTTTTCCAACTTGTACAAACCTGGACTTGGCTTCCATCCACAGCCAGACCTAGAAATTATAATGCATTACCAGGTAGGTATTCATTTCCTGGTATTATTCTAAAAGACTTCTGGGGCTCAAGAGATTTTGAGCAGTGAATTTAAGGAAGACACCATGTAGGTTGCGGTAAAAGCCTGTGTAGGTACTATTTAAGGTGATTTTTTTTAAGTCTTTAATATTCTTTCAGAGGTTCAATTATTTACCATGCTAGCTTCAGGTAGAGAGTAATTTGAATATCACTGTGGGTGAGAGACGGGTGGAGAAGAAGGCGGCAGTTTGCAAATCACACAAGTCAGTCTTGGCTTTGGTGAATACCACCAAGATGCAGAAATATAGGATTCCATGTTATAGTTTATTGATTTTTAAAATAAAATTACGCAGGTAATACATTGCTGTCTGCAGGGATGATATTTGGAATACACAACTGTGATAGACAAGTGAGCTAAGCTTTAGGCTAGAGTAGGAATCTGAAGACCCTCTGGACAACCAAAGCATTAACCCTGTACCTGCTGGATGATGGGAAAGGCTGGAGGGAGGGGGAGACCCTAGGAAAGGGCACAGAATGGTCAGGATAGTTGGAGACATCCTTTACCAACCGGTATACAAATACTTCAGTATTTTAACAACTGCTATAGCCCTAAGGTTACCTAAATGTTAAATATTAGTTGTATTAGTTGTAACATGTAAATGATAAGAATATAATGAGGAATGCTCAATCTTGGGGCTCCTGGGTGGCTCAGTCTGTAAAGCATCCGACTCTTTTTTTTTGTTAAGATTTTGTTTATTTATTCATGAGAGACACACACACACACAGAGAGAGAGAGAGAGAGGCAGAGACACAAGCAGACTCCATGCAGGGAGCCTGATGTGGAACTTGATCCCGAGTCTCCAAGATCAGGCCCTGGACTGAAGGTGACACTAAACCACTGAGCCAACCGGGCTGCCCAGCATCTGACTCTTGATTTCAGCTCAGGTCATGACCTCAGGGTGGTGAGATCAAGCCCTGTGTCAGGTTCCACACTCAGCATGGACTCTGCTTGAGATTGTCTCTCTCTGCCCCTCCCTCTGCTCACACACTCTCTTTCTTTCTCTCCAAATAAATGAATAAAATCTTTAAAAAAAAGAAAAGAAATGATCAGTCTCCCCCTTCAAATCCCACCTCTTCTTCCTCTGTTACATGCCCACCTCCGCTGCGGTTTATTTCCTCAAACAGTAGGTACAAGTAGATCTCTGGGTAGTTTTTTTTTTTTAATTGCTTCACCCAAAGTGGAATCCTACATTATGAATAATAATAGCTAACAGTTGTTAAAGCTTATTATTTACCAGGCATGGTTCTAAGCAGTTTACGTGATTAACTCTTCCCATGAGTTTTCTCAGCCAACAGATGAGGAAACAGGCAGAGCGAAGTTCTTTAACTTGCAAGCTCATAAATGTCAAATCAAGTCCAAGTGGCCCAGCTCCAAACCCCCACCTTCAGTATCAAGAACTAAGCTAAATAAATCTGTTACCTGCACTTTCTGTCAGAGATCTGACTCATTCCTCTAAATGACTGCATCATATTATCTTGTATGGTTTACCATATTTCATTAACCCTTTTCGCTTCTATAGGCATCCAGAATATTCTTCATTCCCTGCCTCTCCCCCTCCCTCTTTCTCTCTCTTCCTCTCTCTCATTTGCCTGACACCTTTTTGCATTTCTCTTTTCTTTTCCTTGTAGGAGGATACTACACATGATGCTCTAATGTACATGTTTGTCCTTGTACAAATAAGCCCCTGCAAAGCTTTCATTTCTGGGATATGCATACACACCCAAAATAGGGAATTGCTGGGCCTAATGCCAAGGATATTTTTTTATTTTAATAAATATTACTAGGATGACATCGTAAAAACAGTATATACCATTCCAACCAGCTGTATGTGCAATTATCAGTTTCCCACATCCTTACCAGCACCGGAGTTTATCTGTCTTTTTAATCTTTTGCCACAGATAGAAGATGAAGGGTGCCACATGGTTGCCCTTCATTGACACTTTCCTTATCATCAGTGAGATTGAGCCATGTTCTTTTTTTTTTTTTTTAGCCATGTTCTTATATTCAATGGCCTTCTGCCCCAAATTACCTGTTCCTATTTGTGTGTTTTGCCCAATTTTAAACTTGGTTACCTTCCTTCTTATCAGTTCACAGGAGACCTCCAGCTATTTGGAATACTAACCCCTTTATGAATCATGGGTATTGCAAATGTTCCATCCTGGTTATCCTTGTTTTATGTTTTTATGTGGTCTTTGGTTGAACAGGTTTAATCTTTCTTTCTTTCTTTCTTTCTTTCTTTCTTTCTTTCTTTCTTTCTTTTTTTCTTTTTTTTACAGTCAGCTTGTCAATCATTTATTGTGCAACTTCTGGACTTCCTGTCTCACTTAAGAAGGTCCTCTCACATTCTGAGTTTATACATATAGTCTCTTTCCTTCTTATTTCTTTTATACATTTACATATTCAATCTATTCAGAATTGATTTCTATATCTGATTTGATGTGTGAATCTGTATTTTCCTCCAGACGGAGAACCAAATATACAGTTCCGTTGATTAAATTAAACACAGCCTTCCCCATGAGTGGAGATGCCACAGTCAGGACGGAGTACAGAGTCACAGGGCTGGGTAGAACCTCAGAAAGGCAGAGTCCAACCATGGCTCCTAATTCCCTCACTCCTCCAATTGGCCATACATGTGGCCACATGGCCACAACCTGGCCCAGGGCCTCTTTGGAAAAATGCCTTTTCCAACCATCTGCTTCTCTTAAGAAAGTAGGCAGTGTCTAGGGAACTAATAGGAAGGAGGCCACTGAGTCTGGACTCTGTCCCCTCTCCCCCCAAATACACAGGATTTGGTCTGATTCAGGAAGGTTGGAGCCTGGACACTACTGGGGAAAGCATGTGTGAAATCAGATCAGATTCTGGAGTACACAGTACCAGCACCCTGAAAGAGAGTGCAATTCTGCAGTCAGCACTTGCCTGCTATTTGAAATATGCATTGAGAGCTAAAAACTTGTGCACAGATGAGCTGGCAGTGTCTTTCTGCTTTACCTGGGAATGATTATAAGCAGAAACATAGGTCAGGTTTCAGCATGCAGTTTATCTGTACAGAAGTTTAGACAAAGGCTAAAGGCTCTTGATATTTGCCAACCCAACCAGAAAGCTGGGAAACTGGTTTGGCCACTGTTTTCTTTTCTTTTTTTCTTTTTCTTCTCTCTCCAGTTTCTCTGCACTTCCCTCCTTCCCTCTCTCTCTGCCTTCCCATCTCTCATCTTTTTTTGGAAGATGAGATCCTGATGATCCCTAGGTCTCTAGAGAACTCATCTTCAAGGCAGAACCTCAGCAGCCAGCTCTGTGTTTGATCAACACTTGAAGTGCCTGCAAATACTCTTTGCTTCTCATTTAAATTTGTATCGATCTCCCAAATGGCAAACAGGTAACCAAAATAAATTATCTAAATAGAGTTAATCAGGAAGGAGCAGGAGCACCAGAGGAATCTGGTGCTGGTCAGGCAGATTTTGCTGATGTGGAAAAGCTGTTGGAATGAAATATGTATGCTTTGGACAGGAGAACATAAACAAAAGCCAGTCCCTGAGAAGTCAGAATTACTGAGAAATGAACCAGGGTCTCCTTGTGCAGAAGCGTTCTGTGGATGGCAAGACCTGGAGGTGGGAATACATGGATCATTAAGAGCTGTCTCCTTCTTGAGAACAGGCTGCAGAAATCTTTTATGGGTAAGGAGAGACCTGCTTATAATAGGTATATGGGTTTTTTCAAATCAAACAATTTCAAGCTAAACAATGCTTGGCACTAGGGGGAAAAAGAAACAGTGGAGAGCCCAAATGATGCTTATCTTTTCAGTTTGTGCCTTAGAGTAGCTTTTGTCTAATTTTTTTTTCTGATGTTGACTTAAGGAGTCATCTTATAAGAGAGGTGGACATGCAATGCAACATTAGCCAATCAGTTTTCACTCCCCTCCTCAAAGGGGCTGTTTCAGAGTTGGATCCAGGATAGTCAACATAAATGTTTTGCCAACAGTGTTTGGGTTCTTTGATTTCCTGGATTTCTTTTGGGTTCGTTGATGTAGTTGCCAATATCTAAACAATTGGTATGCTATATGTAAAATCATGGATTTCTGTCTTCTCTTTAACAAATCAGATGATCAGTGAACTCTGGGCTTATACCCTCCCCTCGCAATAGTCTGCTGGTGTGGCCCAGTGACTGTCCTCTTCAGATGAGCAGGAGCTTCCAGTTTTCCAAATTCCATACCCAGGCCATGTCCACTTGAGTTTCTGACCTGGTCAAAGATAGCAGTTACGCCTAATTTCATGTCACATCAAATGTCAAGGATGATGGACACTTCCGAGGAAGGGAAGTGAGTTGTCTAAGAGCACACAGCAGGTTGATATCATAAATGGGAAAAGAACCCAGGATATTCTTAGATTAGCTTTGCAGAACAAACAATACTCCTTACATTTCCTTCCAGGAAAGAGCTGGTTCCCCCAAGGATGCTTCCAATTATCCTTTAGTGATGCGAAGGTACTACTGGTGGGAATTTCAGATCCAGTGGGGTGGTGAATATTTGTCTTCTCACAAAATGCTTTTCACAGGTGAGTGCCAACTCCTCTTATGATCAGGGTTGAAGGCTGGACCAATAAAACTCTTCTCTTCCTGACCATTAAGATAGCTATGACAACATCATTCATTCTTGCTGAACTAAGTATGATTTATAAGCTTACAGATGGAAAAAAAATCCATCTTTATTCACTTGTGCTTTCAACTGCTTGTGTGTGTGTTTATTCACCCCACACTTACTGAGCATTCACTATATGCCATGTTCTCTGCTATCTTACAGAGACACAAATATTGGTCCCTGAAACTCTCAGTTGAGCTATAGGCTATAATGCACACACAAAGGAGGATTGACTTCACTGAGGAAGTGCCATGTTATTATTGACCTTTTCAAGACCAAGAAGAATCCCTTTTAGGTAGGAGTCAAGAGTTAGCAGCTGTGAACTGCCCTAAGAGCCCAGACCCAATTTGGTTGGCCTCACCATTTTAAAAATTAAATTAAAAATGATTATGTTTACCACATTTAAAAATTGGAAGATTTCAAATAAAAATCCAGATTTCCAACTTCTCTTTAAAAATAGTGGATCTGACGGGTGCCTGGGTGGCTCTTTTGGTTAAGCATTTACCTTCAGCCCAGATCCCAAGGTCCTGGGATCGAGCCGCACATCAGACCCCCTCCTCGGTGGGGAGCCTGCTTCTCCCTCTCCTTCTGCTGCTCCCACTACATGTGCTTGCTCTCTCTTTCTTTCTGTCAAATAAATAAAGTCTTTTTTAAAAAGTAAAAAATAAAATAAAAATAGTGGATCTGAAAATACCAGGTTTACATACCCTTATGGCAACAATGAGGTGTGACTGAATGCTGGGTGCTCATTTTTAGAGAGGGCATGCATTCCAGTTTGTTCCAAGCCCCACCACTCCCTATTACATTATTCATGGTCTCCATCATAAAGGTATAAACCCTGACTGACCTCTCCAGGGATATAAATTGGTATTCGGTGATCTAGCATCTCAAAGAATATACAGTGGTCACAGAGAAGAGGTGGAGAAAAAGGTGTAGTCAGAGACACAGAGATGGGAAATATATAATATATTCAGGGAACTGCATGTAGTTCCATGTGGCAGACAGATGATTAAGTGCAAGAGGTAGGCAGAAATGAAGCTGAAGAAGTAGCCCAGGGACAGATTACCTATGAAAGGCCCTGTGGGTCATGCAAAGGACTTTGTACTAAATTCTGTACTCAATGGGAAACCGTTAGATTCTTGGCACGGGCGTGTTGTCATGACATTTGTGTTTTCAAAAGAGCAGTGTGCAACCATGGAGTTAATACAAGTGGCAAAGGTAATGAAAGAGGCTGGGAGACCATTTGGGCAGTAATTGCACTGATCCAGGGTAGAGATGAGGGACTCCGTAATCTTCAATTCATGGCCAGCAGAGGCACGTGGCAAATGATTGTTAATGATTGAGCGATGAGTGAGAAAGTCTCAAGGATCGCTTGTTCCTTTTATCAACCAAGAGCCACCATGATGGGCCCTCTAGGCTTCCTACAGCCAGAGTTAGGCAAGCATTCACAGATGGGCAAAACTGAGTACTTGCCTGTCTGTAAAATGCTTTTTGGCAAAGTGCATAGGAATTTAGACTTTCTTAGTAGTAATTACACTATAATGCCCCAGGTGCCCCCAGAGTGTACTCAGAGAATTAATGGGCCTATCCGTCTCATTTACTTCTTCGGGTCCCAGGGTCTCCTTCCACAAATGAGCATTCTCAGCGCACTGAATGAGACCCTGGAGGACCAGAAGAATGATTGCTTCTCTCCAAGGTGATCCAGAGGTGAATATCATCCCCTGGAGGATGCCTCTGGACCGTTGAGTGGGAAACACTGCAGTGACCGAGGCAGAAGGCGCTCCAAATGCAAAGAACATTATTCCAAGCAAATGAGGGAGCCCAGCAATTATTTCCACTCAAAAGTTGGTAATGAATCGGCATGTTTATTTATTCATTCATTAAATGTAGGCAAACAAGCAACCAAAGAGGAAGCCGTCTGGCCATTCTTTTAATGAATCTGCCCCATTTCTGAGTGAAATGTAGGCCATGCAGATGAAATGCTGAGCTCTGGAAATACATTACCCACTCAGGAAGCCATCCTTCCAGCCTTAATTAAAGAAAATCAACAACTCCCTTTTGCAGTGGATGATGATGGAAATCAAACCAAGGAACTGAAATACAGACTTGCCAGCTTGCAAGCTGGGTCAGGCTTGACTGGGCTTGCAGAAGCCAGGGAACCTCATGAATTCATTGGAAAGATTGTGCCTTGGGTGGCACCAGAACCCTGTAACGTCAACAGCAGCCAAGATACTACAGGGAATTAATGTCATTATAGGACACCAAATATTAAAAAAAAAAAGGACACCAAGTATTTTTTGATGAAGCTTTGATGACTCATTCATTCATTCGTTCATTCCCTCAATTTTTTATTTGTCCATATGCTCATTCATTCATCTACTCGTAAGCATTTACTAAGTACCTACTATGTGCTAGGCATTGCACCATGGATATAAAAAGCTAAGCAAAAATAAACATTGTCTCATTCTATTACTCTTAATTTTTAGTAGAGAAGATGTTTACTAGGGGAATTATCACATAAATATGTAATGATAAATTGCAAAAGAACTCAGAGGGAAAACTACAAGAAGCCAGCATATAAACCAGTTGAGGACAAGGAGAAGAAGGTAGAACAATCCAGATACGGAGAACAGTATGTGCTCATGTGCCAATCTCCAGAAATGGAAGGGAGCACCATCACCAGAGAGAATGCCCTTTGGGTATGGTTTTGCCTCACCTTTGTATTCCAAGTAATGGAATTCTCTTTATATGATTAAATTAGGAAATGTTTGTGGACTGAAAACTGCCATGATAAGATAAGGCTTAGTTTGAGTGTGTTGGTCTAGATGCCAAGGAGACTGATGGGAACCCTGCTTTCACCCTATTAACCTCTTAAAAGGAGGACTGAGCTTGCCTTGATGCAGTAGGAACATGAACTCTGGATCTCCTGTCATGTGGGTTGCCTCTACCTCAAACCCAGTGTCCTAGAGAGCTCTCAGTTCTTAGCTCCCACGCTCCTCCTGTCCATGAGTCTGCCAATCCCTAGTGTATGGACTCTGGAGATTCATCATGCAATTAAAACCTGCACCTGCTGCTTATAATCTCTATAACTTTGGGCAAGTCATTTAATCTCATTTTGCCTCAGATTCCTTGTCTAAAAATTGGGTGTGATAGTAGTGTCTATCTCAGAGTTGAGGCTATTGTGAGGAGGGGCTATATGGAAGACACAGAGCAGACATACATACTGATATTATTGTTACTTAGGTAATTCCCCTCACTCCCACTTCAGACCAAAGTGCAAGAAAGAAGCTTAGGTTTAACATCAGAGTATGTGGATGGACTTGTGTGTGTGTGTGTGTGTGTATGCTCCATGTCATTAGGCACATCTGAGTGCCTGAAAGGTAAACACTCCAGAGACAGGTATAAAATGTGTGTGATGTGAGTGATGGCTCTTGGCCATGTCTAATGCAGGGATCCTTGGGTAACTGCAAAGTCAGGGTGGCTGGAGTCCATGAGACTTGGAGTATTTTAGTAGGATTCTGCTGATGGCATCTGGGTAGCAGCTTGTGACAGTGTTTGCAGTAATAGCATGTCCTCCTGAAGATGGTGATATTTTCCAACTCCATCTCTTTAACTGCCCCACCCACTTAGCTAGCCATGGTCTACTGAGTTCTGCATGGAGTATAGCCTGTCTCACATCCATTTTATACCCAAGCTGTTCTTTCTGCTCTGAAAGCACTTTTTGCCTACTTCCTTTCTCATTCACAGCCATCAGGCAAACCATTCACCTTCTAAGACTTGGCTTATACATCTGTCCCCACTGAGTATCTCTTGGACTCATCTTCCATCCCCCATCATTATAAGATCAGACATTTTCTTCTTTATTCCTGACTGAAATGTATATATAACATATGCTGTCTTGTCTTATTAGACTTATAAGTCTGTCTCCAAACATAGATTCTAGGAACATTCCTACAAGACAGAGCCTTGTTATGTCTCTTGTGTGCCTGGGATCCACGCAATGCTTGGCATGCAGCTGGTACGTAATAAATGTTGGTTGAATTAATAAACAAATGAAAGAACATGTGAAAATCTATTTTATCATCCCTTGAGTAGGAAAGAAATCAATTAAACCACTATAAATGATGGCTTGGGAATGGGTGCTTATTCGCTTCTCAAGCTCATTCATGGAATGCTACCTGACAGTTTAAACGGATGGCTTTGTTACATGCAACAACTTGGGATGAATCTCAAGAGAATTATACCGAGTCAAAAAAAATTATGTACTATATGATTCCATATCTAGAACTCTCTTGAGTGAAAACTCTAGGGATGGAGCCCAGATTAGTGGATGCAGAGAGGAGAGTGCAGGGAGGGAGGAAGGGAGCAGTGGGTATAAAGGGTAGCGGCAGGGGGTGGGGAGGGCTTCTTAAGATAAGACTGTCCTGACTGGTGGTGTCCTCTGGTCTATTCATGTGGGAAGATTACAGAAAACTAGACAACGCACACCCACAAATGAGTGGACATAAAACTAATGAAATCTGACAAAGGGTGATTAGTTGTATCAATGTCAATTTCCTGGTTGTGTTATTGTCCTATAGTTATGCAAGATATTATAATTGTAGAAAACTGAGTAAAGGGCATATGGGATCTCTTTGTGTCTTTCTTACACCTGCATGTGAATCTTTCATTATTCCAAAAATAAAAAGGAATACACACACACCTACACACATACATACATATACAGTGAGATCCTACCATACATCCACCAGTGTGACTAGAATGAAAAAGCTTAATATCAAGCGTTGGCAAGGATATGGAGCAACTGGAACTCACAAACATTATTGCTGGGAGTATTGATTAGTACAAACACTTTAGAAAAAAAAGCTCGGCAGTTTCTACTAGGGCTAAAAACACCCATACCTTATGACCCAGCATTTCCATTCCGGCAACAGAAAAACACTCATATGAGAAGATACAAAGCACTATACTTCATGATAACTCTAAACTGGAAGCTGTCAAATGCCCATCAACAGTATGATAGAGGGCAGCCCCGGTGGCACAGCGGTTTAGTGCCGCTTGTAGCCCCAGGTGTGATCCTTGGAGACCCAGGATTGAGTCCCACATCGGGCTCCCTGCATGGAGCCTGCTTCTCCTTCTGCCTGTGTCTCTGCCTCTCTTTCTCTCTCTGAATAAATAAATAAAAATCTTTAAAAAGAAAAAACCAGTATGATAGATGAATCAGTTGGGATATACATCGTCTCAGTCAGTTTGGGCAGCTATCGCAAAATACATAATTTGGGTGATTTAAAAAAAAAATATATATATATAATCACAATTCTGGAGGCTGAGAAGCCCAAGATCAAGCTGTTAGTAGATTTGGTATCTGGTGAGGGCTCTGCCTGGTTTGCAGATGGCTGTCTTCTTATGACTTCACATGGCCTTTCCTGGTATATGGATGAGAGACAGAGACAGAGACAGACACCTTGTCTCTTCCTCTGCCTATAAAACATTAATCCTATTATGAAGACCCCACCCTCATTACCTAATCTAACCCCAAACCCCACCTCCCAAGTGCTGTCACACTAGGGATTAGAGCTTCAATTTATGACGGTGAGGGGTGACCCCACAAACACGAAGTCCACAGCACCTATAGCAGAACACCATATAACAATTAGAACAAACATCTTGCAGCTACATGTCAAATTAAATGAATTTCAGAACCATAACATTGAACAAAAGAAGGCAGTCACAAAAAAAGATAGGCTCTGTGATCTCACTTACATGAAGTTCAAAGAAGGCAAAGAAATTAGTCAACATGGTGGTTATATTTGGGGGGTAACAGTTGGAGAAGGCTGTGAGGGAGAATTCTGGGGTTATAGTATAGTTCTCTTTCTTGATCTGGGTCCTAGCAATGCCATTGAATTTAAGTTTGTAAAAATTTGTTGGATTGTACCCTTAGGATGTGTGTTGTGTGTGTACATTATTATCCTTGAAGAAAAAAATGTTGAAGGACAAAAATGTTTATTCATGTTGTTCTATAGTTAACATTTATTAGGTGCTCTCTCTATTCTAGACATTGTAAGTTCTTAGAACACCCTTATAAATACAGAAATCCCCATTCTGGGAGACTCATAGTCTGTGGAGAAGCCACTTATTTTCCTTTTCTTTATTCTTCTCTTGCAAAGAGTTCTAAGTATCAGATAAGATCAGAAGAAACTTTTCTATTGGTGGTGGTTGTGATTTTAATTAGTTATTGAACTAAAAGAACTGCATAAGAGAGACTTTTTCTTGTCTTGTGTGTATATATATATACATACACAAAGTACTTATTGAACTCTAAATCTTGCATTCCAGCATCTTCAGATAATTCCTTTTAAGACTTCCTCAAACTAATTTTCAATCAAAAGAAGAAAAAATAGTCATATGTAATTGCTGCAAAAGAAAAAAAAATCCCCTTATTAGGAAATCTGTAACTGCCTCCAGGAATTCAAAAATAAAAAAACATTCAAGTGAAGGAATCTCTGCTTTGCTTCACATGGAAATATCTCAGCTGAGAGGAAATTCTACATCTGTGTTTGTAGCCCTCAGGCCTGGGAGAGCAGACCCCCAGGACAGATTACCCCCTGCCATTTAAATGAAGGACAGTTCATGGCTTTGGCTGTGATTTGGTGAAAACAGTGTTTCTTGTCATTTTATCCATAATAATCCTATAATTTGCAAAACACAGGAGGCATTAAAGTGTGGATAATATCACCTTGCCATGCCAAAGATGGAAAAGAGAATTAATGAGATCAATAAAGCTACTCTCGCAGGAAAAATAGAAACACAGATGGGAAATGGTAGAAGCATTGGCAAGCCTGAGAGAGAGCTGGGGACCTGCTTATGGCCCTGTTTTAAAGCCAGAACTGTTCTGAGGGACATGTGAGCTGACCAGCCTTAATGCCACAACTCCAGCAGAGCCCCACCTTGGCAATGCTCAAAGCTCTGGCCAGGATGAGAGATCAATCAACAGCAGGTCAGCAGGTACTGATAGAACACCACCATATGCTTGGCACCAGGCAAGCATCATGGTGATGCTAGAAATTATGAAATATTGTCCACTTATCAAGGAACTTATGTTCCACTTTGAAAGAAAGTCAGATGTCCTCACCTTTTTTATACCAACATTTAAATAAACATGTATGGGGAGAGACATCTGATCAGTAATCCTAATTAAAAATGTGTTAAAATTTTCCCCATCAGGGAAAGAGGAAATAAGCATGTGTCCTAATACATGCATCAGGTCCTCAAAGCAAGCCTTAGAAAGACACAGTTGCAGCCAACGCACAGATGGAAAAACCAAGACCCTGGGTTTAATACATTTGCCCCAGTTCCCACAGCAAGTAGTGAAGCCGAATCAGATTGTAATTAATCCAAAATCCATGA